CAGAGAACATTTGTTTTTTCAGTGTAATTACTCAATGCAAGTGGTTTCTTGTTGGAAGGATGCCCAGCAGTTCTGCAGATTAAGTTGGCAGGACACTGTGAATGCTGCTATTGCTTTAAGTAACAAGAAGACCCCGTCTGGGAGAGTTGCAGGGGTATTCTGGTGTGCGTGCATAGATTATTTGTGGCGTGAGCGGTGCAACATACAACATCAGATACCTCCTAGGGATGCTCCTAGTATTGGTCGTTTGATCATTTCTTATTTAATGTATCTGGGTAGTGTGATGGTAGTTTGCAAACATATCCTGTGCAGTTGGCCTTATGAGTTGAGTTGAGTCCATTGTAGGAATGTGGGTGTGGGGGGGGGTTGTTTTGGGTGTTTCATTGTTTCATAGGGCTGCTCACATCGAGCTTCCCTTTCATTGTATCGGTTCCTATATGTACATTGCATGTAGTTTTGGTAATACAAAAGCAACTGATTCAACAAAAAAAAAAAAAAAAATCATCCAACCTCTACAATGTATTTTTCAAATTCATACATTGACACAATACATCTACTTGGAATATACAAATTGATTTAATACATCAATTTAGAGAATTATAACTATCAAATATTGTGCCCACATAATCACTCATAATTATGTGAATATCTAAACAATTTTTTTAATAAATTAAGTGAATTAGTTTTTAGCAGAGATACAATATAACATTATTCTGTTTCCAAGAGAAATAAAATTTATCACTATTTTAAGGAAAAATTGCTAAATAATGCTACAGTTTTTTATTCTACATTTATCTCACATTCCATGTTATTATATATATTCTCATTATTTATATTTTTTTTGGAATTAATGTAACATCGTTTTCTTCAATAAGTTATTGCCCCGCCCATTTAATAATTAATACGTGTGCTTGGATGGAAACCCACCTGTCAATTACCAGGTGGACACATCTGGCTGCCACATGGCACCCCAAACCATGCCACATCACTTTCCACTTGGGTATTCTTGTTTTATTTTCTTCCTTTTGCTTCAAATTCCGATTCTGCCCTTCTCCCACCACAAATTGTGACATTGATGAATTCATGTGCACAAAATGGTCCACTTGTTGTTCTTTTCTTCCTTCTTTCCTCCTCTATGTTCATAATTACAACTTTGCTTTAAAATCTCCAACACTTAACATGCACATTTCTCCTTTCCCCCTTAAATAGGTGTTCATGGCAAATGATGCAGTTGATGATCTAAAAGCTAGCTAGAAGAATAATACAAGTTTAAATGATGAAAAAATTTGTGGGAGAGATTCGTAATTACGGAATTTCAGAATGCTCACTAAGTAACCGCTTCAACATACTTGACAATTATTCACGAATTGATCACCTATTCAATTCCAAAACTTGTTCTTGATATAACTCAAAGCTGAAAAGTTCTCTCAATACTTAGAGTTGCAATCAGTAAAATCAATACAACTTTGAAAAGAAAATAGACTCATGTATATGATAGATTAAATTTGTCTTCACCATAAATCCAACTAATTCACCAGTTTCTTTTAATATACAAAATAACTCATCATTTTTAACGCAATGATAATGCTCTCAAAATCCAATAGAAAATAATCAAAAAGATGACAAAATTCTCCAAGATAAATTATGTGTTAGAATATGGTGGGGATAATTGGTAGTTCGTGAGTTTAATTTTAGAATTTGAAATTTTTTGGATATGGAGAGAAACATGTCCAATTATTGGACCTGGGAAAGCTATACGTTTAGAATTACATTTATGACAAAATTACAACAACAAATGAAGTATAACCAAATACAAAAGATATTCACTAACAACTACTGTATTATAGATTCGACACACATGTACTACCACTTTTTCCCCCTTTTATCGTACTCAAATTACTACCGAGGGTTTATTAATTTTTATCCTAAATTTTAGGGGTGTCCCAAGACACTCTTACCCTCCATTTGGGTCCACCCTGAAAGTAGTATTGTATATTAGTCTAACTTAAACTCCATTAGTATGAGGTGTTTAGAGAGGGAATTCAAAAGTAAATTCGTGCGGGTTTGACATTCAATAGACATATTGAACTAATGAGTATCCGGTCTCAAACAAGTGGTATAAGAGTTTGGTTCCAGAATTTGAATTCAGGACGGTGGTCTTCAGTTTGGTGGACTTCCATTCGGTGATCTTGGGATTTGAGATATGCATATGCTTGACAGATCAAAGGAGATCCAAGTTTGTTTGGCAGATCAAGGTGAGATCCCCGAGGGGAAGACACTAAATTTGTGGCCATTGTTTTGAGGGGAATATTGTTAAGGGAAAACCCAATTACCACATCGAATATAAATGGGAAATGGTCCTTGTTTATAAGTCCACCAGTAAGAAGTCTTTTAGGAAAGAAGCCAAAAGTAAATCTGTTGGGGTCCAAAGTGGATGGTATTTTACTGAAGCATTCAATCTCAACAAGTGGCTTCAGAGCTTAGTTGGGGAGCGGATCCGAGAAGGTGGATGTTATTTTGGTGGCCTTAGGATTTTAGATATGTATATGTCTGGCGTATAAGGGAGATTTGTGTCCAGCAGATCAAGTGGAGATAGTACATTATTGTGTTGAAAGTCCGTCGATACAAAGTATATGACGGATCAAGATAGTTCTGAAAGGAAATATGAAATTTATGATCTTTGTTTTGAGAAGATAACTATTATGAAACAACTCAAATAATCTATGAGAACGGACACTTATATATAAGCTCTATTAGTAACAAAATAAATCCGGTAAAAAACACTAGGCAATCAAATCAAACTTACATACATTGGACCACCTATTTTCATGTTTAAACCGACCATAATATATGAATATTTATGGTAGTCTTAAATCCAAAAACGATCTTCTCACATGCTTCCAATACAAATTTCGTCTTTTTTTCTTCTTCTTTTGGGGGCTTGACCTTTTGCGTTTTCCTTTGCTATTGGGGTTCTACTACATCCTCTTCCTCTTCTTCCCCACCCCACAATTCCCTCACATGCTACCATGTGCCCTCATTTAATAACAAAACCCTTTCCTTTCTTTCTTTCTTTCTTCATCCCCACCTGGCCGCCACCACCTCTCCCTTGCAGCCTTATTTTGGTGTTGCGCTCTGCTCCATCATCTCCTCCCTCATATCCCTCTTACATGCACAAGAAAGATCGAAGAAAAAAGCCACATGATCAATCATCACCACCAGTCGGTACTCGGTAGAGATGGTAATTTGAATTCACCCGTTACATGACTGATTCGAGTGGGTATTTTAATTCGTAGTAGCGTGAGGCGGGACATGAGTATCTACTTTCGATCCGCTTTGTCATGTCCCACCCTTCTTGTTTTTTGTCATTTTATCTCAATTTCTTATAATATCTATTCATATTTCTCATATTTTGAATTTTCTTCAACTAGTTAGACTCGATCTTTCAACTAGCTAGACCCAATCACCCATTCTATTATCACCATTTTCATTCATCATAAAGTGTTAACTGCTTACCCCTTCATTTTATCGCTAAAAAAATACAATTTTGCATGTATTTTTACAAAATAACGTGTAAAAGTGGATCGATCTTCCCCGCCCCGTATCCACACGGATATTACCGGCCGCCCCCAGCGGCGGATCTAGGGGGCCGCCCCACGCCACGGCCCAGCACTCCCCTATATCCGGAACTAGTATAGCCTTTGTAAATTTTTAATTTTAGGTATTCGTTTATGTTCTCGTCGGGTTACGGCCCAATCCTCTTTGCCTCTTTTTAAAATGTGGCCAAGTGTTCTACCCCATTGCTAGTAATGTAGACACATAGATCTGTTTTGCGGTTATGTGTGTATATATGTCATGATCATCATCACCACCACAACATGCAGCTCAGCTCCATTAATGAGTTCATCATCATTTCAAATGTTTGGTCACGTTTGATAGAATTATGTAATCCTTTATGGATGTTTGGTTGCTGATTTTCATACCATTAATTGGATGCAAGACTAGAGTAATAAGGAGGGAGGGAATACATGAGACACTATTGCCATGGCTTTTGAGACAAACGGCCATTCAGATTGTTGTCAATAAGGAACGATAATGGAATTGCTACATACAAATATATAAAAGTGATTTAATTATATGTGAAGTTGGATTAGTTATAAATGGAGGTTAATGATATGTTCGTATTTAATTGTGAGGTTTTATGAAACTTTATTTGGTAAAGTTGATCAAACAGTTAGACCTTCTAATCGTAAAAATAAATAAAAAAACAATTAGACCTTCTCGTCAGAGGCTAGAGGATCTTCTGAAGCATAGATTGGATGATAATGGGAAAAGCTTGTTATGCAGTCTCGCACAACTACTATGATCCAGAAGAAATTTTTTCATATGAACCCTCATTGAGCCCCAAGTCCTTATTGGTTCTCAACTGTCTTTTATAGAAAGGCTTGGGCAATTTTTCCAGACAGTGTTAACTCTACAACTTTCTCTCTTTGCCCTAAGGTTACCTATGACTATTCTTTTAGGGGTCGTTTGGTAAGTGATAGAAACCGAATTCTTATGGGTTTCTATTATAATTGCCATATTCATATTAGAGATAATTATATTGATAAATTATTGCTTGGTTGTTAAGTTTAGGTTTACAACTCTTTTTCCTATATAAGGGTACTCAATTATTCATTTAAAAGGCAATCAAGAAAGAATTATCAAGGTATCACTCTCAACCCTAATCTCTCCTAATCCTCTCAAACTCTCTTCTCATCCTATTCTGGCCGCCGCCCATTCTGTTCTTGTTCTTCCCCAATTCATTCCCGATCCCCAAATTCTCTTCTAAATCCCTAAATCTCCATCAATTCCCAATCCTATCGATAGGACCCTAGAAATAGGTTTCTATCATCTGGTATCAGAGCTCGAATGAGCTCGTTACAGCTCTTCAATCTGGAGTGGTCTCAACTACAAGATCTACTGCGACAGACCTTAAAACGTCGGAATAAGAGGCACGGATGAGGGCGGCGAAGAGAGAGATGGTCACAAGGCAAGACGCGACGGTCGCTGAGATTGGTGGAGATCGCGCAACAATACCGTTGCAGTCGTCGAGGCTGAACGAGGAGACCACGGACGACATCACAGCGTCGACGGAGAGTGCTGAGGTTGATGGTGCAGCTGAATCGTTGCAGTATGCTGAACTCAATGACAAGCTGCAGTTTCCGCCGCCATCAGCTACCGCAGTTGCAAACTCACCACCAACACTGCTGGCAGCAGTTGAACAACCATCCATGGTGAAGGAACATAATACTTCAGAGATTATCTTAGTGTTCCTGACCAAAGAAGGAGATGGCCCGGTGGCAGAGATCTCAGGCAAACAGTCGTTGCTTCTGGCAATGAATGCAAAGCTTGAACACATCGCATCACCAGCAGAAGCGACCACCATCGTTGCCCTTTCCAAGCACAACTCTCTAGATTGGAGTCGAGGAGCGGAGCAAGGCTACTGTAGCTGCTGAGGAGGAAGAAGAAGACCTCGATGCTGTCTCCGGAAATGAGAGGGTCGTCGCTGCTAAAGAAGCAATGTGATCCTAGGGTTCGGGGGTGAGATCAATGCGAGGTCAAGTGGCGAGCACAATTTCGGAGGAAGCTGAGGTCGGACAAAGAGGATTCGGAGGCTAAGGCACCGCAGGTCAGGCCGGTAGGAGGCTGGCCGCCTTGTCGCCAGAGGGAACGAGCGCGCCAATCGGCCTCCTGGGGAGAAGTCGGAAGAGACGGCGGAGAAGGGGGCCTGCCCGGCACCGTCGAACGCACCAGTGGCGAAGGAATATGGCTGCGGGGCAGCGTGGGAGGATAGGACGGAAGCATTCGGAGGTGACCTCCCTCGCGCGTCGCCGGAGATGGAGACGACCGGCGGAGGGTTCGCCGCCGGGGAGAGAAATGAGGGCGACGGCAGGAGTTTGCTCGTTTTCCCTCTTCCTCCGGATAGCCTATTGGGAGCGGGTTTCTTCGCCTGCATAACACGTAGATCAGGAGGTTTGGTGGTCGTCTGTGGATCTACTACGGGCGATGTCAACCGGGGAAGAGGTGAAGGCCGGGCCGGAACCCGGCATGTCTCACAGCCGCTGGGTGGTCTTTTTGCTGGCGGAGGTGGAAATGACGTTGGCGGGCGAGGCGACAAGCTAGGAAGGAGGTTGGCGGTTCATCATCACTGTCAGTCACGAGGGGGAGTGATGAAGCAGTGTGGAAGCTTGAAGGGATTGATGAGTCCCACACTTGGCAACCTAGTGGGTGGCCATTTTCTTGGAGAAATATATGAGCAGCAGGTAAATAGTTGCTTTAATTACACTACACCATGGGATTGGTTCGCATGTGGGAAGATTGGAAACAATCGTGCAAAAGAAAGAGAGCTAAACCAAGTGATTGTTGATACAATGAGAAGAGATGAGCGGATAAGAGTTGTTGTGGAGCCGAGCTGCACTGAAGAGGCTCATACGACAAGTCGGAGGAACGGCTGGCGGTGGGTTGAGGGAGAGCATAGGCTCTCGAGCGGATACGCCAGAAGATGGGTATGTCATTCTGAGCCACTACCCTTCAATCGGACCGCTCGAGATTACAACAAAGGAGTCTGCACCGGTGATCTCGGGAGTTTGGTCGTCGCCTTCAATATCGTCTGGCGGGGCATTTACACCGGCAGGATAACGAGACCAGAGATGGCGAAGACGATAAAATGCGAAATCCATCGCTTGGTCTCCTTGTACTGTGAGTGTGCGGCCGCTAACGAAGGAAAGTACCCATTACGTTGGGGGTGTAACCGGAGAATGGAAATGTCAGACGATGAAGATCGTAATTATGAAGTCCAAGTTAATGTAGGGAGAAGTATTTCAGATGATGACTATGGGTTGGAAGATGCCCAACAACAACAATAGGTAAAAAAAAGGATGGTATGTGGGAGGTGTGCATGGAATGGGGAAAAGGGAGCTCGATTTTGTATTCAATAGAAGGCAAGTCGGCGCTAATAATGCCCATTTTGGCTTCAGGCTACAAGTTGTCGGCAGGCTAGCACAACTACGTGCAAAGGAAAGCAATAAGAGCAGGTTGCTCGGGACGACGGAGGCGGCCGAGTCCTTGATTGGCTGGGAAGGGACGGGAGCTGGATCAAGTTGATGGGGCTTGACGGAAGAGGGAAGTGGCATTGGAGCTGCTCGTGCTAATAGTCAAGTTCAAGTTTCTCAAGGCAATTGGAAGTTCAGAAAGCCCAAACAACCGCCGAGTCAAGATTGCGGAAGATTGGTGGGGCTGGAGTTAGTCAACCTTGAGGGCAAGGTTGATTTCAAGGAGGAGGGGATGATAGAAACCGAATTCTTATGGGTTTCTATTATAATTACCATATTCATATTAGAGATAGTTATTGTGATAAACTATTGCTTGGTTGTTAAGTTTAGGTTTACAGCTCTTTTTCCTATATTAGTGTACTCAATTATTCATTTAAGAGGCAATCAAGAAAGAATTATCAAAGTATCACTCTCAACCCTAATCTCTCCTAATCCTCTCAAACTCTCTTCTCATCCTATTCTGGCCGCCGGCCATTCTGTTCTTGTTCTTCCCCAATTTTATTTTTGATCCTCTAATTCTCTTCTAAATCCCTAAATCTCCATCAATTCCCAATCCTATCGATAGAACCCTAGAAATAGGTTTCTATCAGTAAGCATGTAATCTACCCACAGATTTCAAGATTAAATGATATCTAAGATTTCACTGTTATTCTTGTTTCATTTTTGGGCAGATATCATGATATTTGTGCACCATGTAATTCTAGAATTCAAGTGACCATGATATCTCAAATGCTTTGGATTTACCCAAAGTATTTGAGATTTCATACCAAATTATGTGAGTTCTTCTATGAACTCATGCAAGCCAAACAATGCATTTTTATATTACACAAGTTCTCACAACTCAACCTTCAATATACATGAGCTCTTCAAATACATGAATTCTGCATGATCATTGAAAAAGTTCTTGCTACCCGGATGAATAAGGTTCTTTCCAAAGTGACTAGTGGAAACCAATATGATTTTATTGATGTAGACGTATTGTAGATAATATCATAATGTACAGGAGTTAGTCAATGGATATCTGATAGAACCCGGTGAGTCGAGTTCTATCTAGAGATTGGAATATGAAGGATCAAAAAGATATTGATCCGTAGGGTTTGTGGAAATGGAAGAATTAGTTGATATCACCCTAGGGGGGTGATTGATCAGAATCAGCACAGCTTAGGCTCCAATTTGAATGAATTGAGGCCCCTTCTTGCTCCTGAAGAAACAGAACACCAAAACCAGCTTAGCTAGCTAGTTTGGAGCTCAAGAAAAGGTGGAATCTGAGGGTTCCTTCACACCTGGGAAGAAGCACTCGAGATATGAGATTTTATTCGAGTAACTAAGGGTGGAAGACTCAGTTAATAGACTCAAATCAACTAGGTTCGATCGCAACCAAAACCTAAGGTCAACAACCAACTCGCAAGTTGTCAAATTTTGGGGTTTTCTATTCAATTGTGATATGCCTGTTACAAGGTACAATCCAAGCCTTTTATAGGCATAAACTAACTCTAATAAACATAGACAAACTAAAAAGGAAGACTAAATCAACAAGGAAACTGAAATACAAGTGTAATTCTTATAGGACTACGAATCTGAATGGCATTCGGATTACTTGGGAGTGTCGATACCATCTTCTCACGTCTAGCAGATGGCCTTCCAGTTTGATTTGCTCTCATCCAATACCTAGTCGTTATAGAAGGAAACTCCCTCTTTTGCCTCCAACTTGAACCACCTCGAGATCATCTCCCAAGCTCCAGTCATGGCTCTTCAAAGTTAGCATCCTAAAACAGTTTCCTGCCTTAGCCAAATTTAGGCAGTTTTCAGGATTCTTTATTGCCTCTTGTTGGACTTGAAAAACACTCTTCCTGGCATCGCCTCGAGCTCCACGACCTACCAATCGAAAGATAAAGTTTTGAACTTCAAATTGAGACATTGAACCAACATTTTCATTGATTGGTTTGAGAGATATGAGCTCCCAAAGTAGGCACCTCGAACTCGACCCAACACTTAGCCATTTTCCTTCCTTCTTCTTCCAAGCTTCACTTCCTTCTTCCTCAAGCAATTTAACCTTCAAGATTGACCCAATTGGGATCATATCAGGCCCCCCTATAGAAAAAGCTTTGCCCTCAAAGCTTGAGCTGCTCTTCGATCATAAACTTCACAGAACTGGCTCCAGATTGGATCGAAAGTGAGCTACTCGAAACCTTTGCTCTTGAAAATTAGGCCTTTATTCTTCAGGTCCTGAATTGGGGATTTCTTCTCTGGGTATCTCCAGGCCAATTCATGGTCATGGGATTTGTCAGCCTTTGAATCGAACTTCTGGATAGGTACCGTGCTTCGAATCATCGTGTGCAACGACGAAGATCCCATTCTTTCTTTCCGCCATCGTCGTTGTTTGAATTTTCCGAGCCCAGAAATCCCAATCGAAAATCGTCGGGCTGATTGGATTACTCCGACAGCTTCCTTGGACATAGACGAACGTTTTGGCATCAACCACCCGTGTCGAATCATGCCCAATCGTTCCAACCAATTCACACGATTTCTGTTCATGTTTGCCCGTTTTTAGGGCACTTATGGCTCGAATCTGATGTTGCAATCCGACTACCGTTGTACCAAACCAACTGGTTTTTAAGCTTCCTGACACAATTTGGGACGTGCCTAAGTCTTCTCGGGCTTCGACTCTTCACCGGATGCTCCGACGAGATGCCCCTCTCTCCTACTCTGCTCTGCCGGCAACACGAGCCAGGACTGACTTTCTTCCGCTGGAATCTGCACTGGGGCTCATCTCATGGCAGTCAGCACTAACCTCCGAGCTAACAAACTTGTGCCTTCATCCTTATCCTGCTTTTCTTTGTTCTGATTCACATCCAATTTTCGTTGATCGGCTCTAGCTTCGGTCGGTGACAGTGGACTTAACTTCAGTTTCTTTTCGTCGAGCTTGAACGTGTAACAATTTTTCCGGCCATGGTGAGTTACACCTCGGTCGTATTGCCACGACCTTTCCTGAAAAAGAAGCGCCATGTGCATAGGAGCCACATCGCACAAAATGCGATCTTTATACTGGTCAATCTGGAAATCGACCCAGGCTTGTTTTCTTACCTTCACCGCGCCGTGATCGTTGAGCCAGTGGAGGCTATACGGCTCATGATGCTTCAGGGTGCTCAAGCCGAGCTTCTTCGCTGTCTCTAAGATGACGACGTTTGTTCAGCTGCCGCCGTCGATCACCAGAGAATTCGTTTTCCCCTGAATTGTACAACGGGAGTGAAACAGGTTGTCCCGTTGTTGGGTTTCTGCCGTGCTTCCATCATTAGAGCTCGTCGATTAACAAGCAAGGACCCTCCTGGAGCTTCCATTTTGATCAATTCATCGATCTCTCCATCCGCCTCTTTCCCTTCGGGCGCCTTATCCTCCTCTTCATC